GAATTCAAAAGAATTCTGACTCAAAAGAAGGATTCATTAAATCAGACATCACTTCTCTCAAGTGAAGTTGAATAACTTAGAAGACTTGAAATATAGCACACAAGTCATATTAATCACTTTTATGATACTTTTTTATGGTGGTCTTGCATCTGATTAAAGCTAGAAAGCTCATATTCTCATCCTTCAGAATTTCTCTGTTCGTGTCACACAGGTTTGTAGCAACATGAGGGTGAGTAAATGATGACAGTATTTTCATCTTTTAATGAACTATCACTTTAATACGCTCACACACAAGTATTCTCGTCTGAAGCCAGTGATATTTGGTGATTAAGAGAGACGCACCAGTGCTCTTGTAAACTGGTGCAGCCAGAGTGCTTGGACAGGATTATATAATGGGACAAGAATTCTCATATCCACTTTAAAAAAAGACATAATTAGCCATCTGCTCTCAGTGGACGCAGCAACACCAAAACGTCAGAGAGTCTAATCAGGAGAGAGACAATGAGCAGACAGAGAGCGCGTCTTTGAATAGACCGAGAGAAATTAGGTTTTTGCATTCCTGGGATTTTGCTCCCCGATAACGGAGAGGCCAGAGCTTATGTTCAATCTCAACGTCTGGAAAAGCTCCATTTTCTCTATTAAGTTCTCAGACTACATTGACTTATTTCTGGAAAGATGGATTGGACAGATTGTGTGCATTGTTATTCTTTCTATACTTTCTATATTCTATCCTTAACAGCTTCATTATGGTGTAACAGCTGATAAAGCACCAAGAACAAAATTGCTCTACAAAAAAAAAGAAAAAAAAGAAAGGAAGTCAGACAAGTCAGACTTGTTCAGACAGCCCACAAAATCTGATTTTTAGCACGCCCAAATCAAATCCATTCAGGTCTGAATAGCAAAAACACACAGAAGGTCCAAGGCTTACAAATCTGATTCAAACTCTATGTGATTTTAACCAAAAGGTTTTCAAACAGGGGGCCGGGACCCACTAGGAGGCCTCAGCAAGCTTCCAGAGGGCCCAATAAGTGTATTTACATTTATGTAAATATATACATATGTACATGTGTGTATTTAGTTATACTAAAACAAAAAAAGAAATAAGTACAACATTAAACTTTATCAGCGGTACATATCAGATGTGAGGGCATTCGAATATTGTCTTAGAAAAAGGGGACATTGGAGTCAAAAGTGTTGATTATTAATTCAGATTTGTTTGGAACGAGTCTGAAAAGTCAGTGGTGCATTTCAAAGACAACAATGTTACTCAGTGCCTAACTAGTACGACACATGGAGAAACTAACTAGTTAGTCATGAGTGTTTCCTGGAAAATGTAGAAACTTCGTCACACATTCATCGCTTGAACTACGTTGTTTAAAACATTATAATGACGTCAAGCAGGTGGTGGAGCATAACATAACTGCTAATTATTCAGTTCGAGATCAAATTAATGTAAGATTATTGCTGTAAAAATCAAACATGGCATCTGAGGACTTCTTCGTTATTTTTGTTCTCCATTATTTTGCGGGTTTCCTTACATCACTCCAGGGTTCACCGTGGTACTAGAGCACCTCCATATATGCTCACTCTTAAAAAACGGTGCTATAATTAACTAAGTAAAAGATGTAGAATAAAATTTGTATATGCATTGAATTATAGATATGCATTGAATTACATGTTAGCTTGCTTATTTTGCTTACATGCATGATCTATTTAAATCCATATGTCATTCTATGTCGCTTCTAACCACAGGTCAAGAGATACAAAACTTTGAGAGACAAAACTTTGAAATACTGTTTTCGAATGTTTGATGGAACTATGGATTTGGGAAATGACAAATCGTTGAACAATGTTGGTAGAGGCGGAATTTGCTAACTTTGTTTTTTGTCAAAAATATTTTCTGGAGAAGTTTCCCAATTCACTTAAAGGGAACCACTGATGTCACATGGACTATTTTAACAATGTTCTTAGTATGTTTCTGGGTCTCAGATCATTTCAGTTACATATGGAGGGTCAGAAAGTTCTCAGATTTCATCAAAAAATATCTTAATTTGTGTTCCGAAAATGAACGAAAGTCTTACAGGTTTGGAACGACATTTGGATGGGTAATGGTGGAATTTTCATTTTTGGGTGAACTATCCCTTTAAATTTGCACACTGTTTGCTTATCTAGTGAACTGTGTGACATTCACTATGTAGTGAATAGTGATTGAGTGAACATGTTAATAGTTTTGGACACTGAAACGCTCGTTTATTGGCAATCAGCCAGATATTGACACGTTTTGTCACTTTCAAAATGACACTGTAGACTAAAGATCCTAAAAAGTTTTGAGATCAAATAACTCAAACCACTCTGAGAGGCAATCCAAAACCTATTTGTAGTGTAAACGTTAATCTGGCTTAATGCATTTTGAACAACACCGAAGCTCTTCCTATTACCTTGTCAACCAATCATTGCACTAAAGCAAGGTTTTGAACTGGGAGAAAGAAAATAACCATCCACAAAAATTGGATAAGCCTATGCACACGCATGCATGATTCATATACAGTGACATGGATCATGTGAAGCACACACATATGAAGTTCAATTACAGCTGCTCGACTAAAAATAACGATGAGCATTCAGCTCAAAATGTCACGTTTGTGCAGAGATTAACATTTAAGTACATTTGCCCTAAGACTAAACTGGCTTTAACTGGTTTAATTTAGTCTAGCTGGCCTCCAAGCCTGGCCAAGTTGGTGTTCAGCTGGTGTAGCCTAAATAAAATGAAAGTACCCAAAACCTCTCTAAAATTAACAAACGACCAGCTAAGACATACAGTAACACACTGACATCTTGTTTTCCTCACCAAACATACTGTTCTAGTCTACATCTTTCAATTCTTTTGTCGTGGCGTTATAAACAAAGCCAGTTTGCCCTCTAAAGCCGCAGTGGTCACAGGGTCTGCCTGTGCCCTGCCCTCTGTTCAACCGAGACGCAGTCTTCAGATCAAATTAACAGCCTGAATAACTCGATAACGCAAACTGGGGTGATAAGACTGATAAAGACCTTCTCACTCTTGAGGTCTAATGGTGGAGATAATTAGCTGGCCTTTCATTCCCTTCCCCTCTCTCCTTCACTTTAAGGTCATGTGTTGGGCACCAACACTGGAATGAATTGAAATCATCTTAAACTACATATTGTATTTTTTTTAAATAATGATATTTCACTGACCACTATTTAACAGTGAGCTTTTATATTCAGCAGTGTAGCTCGAAGGAAAAAGAAAAAGCAAGGGTAATGTATTCCAGTGGTTAATTTCGGCTGGTTGTTGGTCAGACTTCAGAAGTCGGGGCTGTGTAGATTAGTGCTCAACTAATTTGAAATGGTTGAATCTTAAATTATTACATTTATATTATCCAACCTGGAAAATGTGGTTACTTCATCGCTTGTTAGCGGCGGTGACACACAGTGCGCTTGATCGTGAAACATAACTCCAAATTGCCCCTGGGAGACTGTATAGTATTTGTACGAGGTCACTTTGTATAAAATCATCAGCTAAACGACTAATTAACAATTAGCACTTCCATTATGCTCAATTATGATGCCTGGAGGAAAGGCAGTAACATTTGTTAATGCAGCAGCGGTTAAAGACTTCGGCTCATAGCTGAAAGAGATGATCATAACTTGCACCAGTATCTTCATATTATAAGTCACTTAATTATTAAACAACAAATGACTTATTGGCAATTTCGTTACATTGATATGATACACAGTAAAAACTTTGCTCATAGTTTTGTTGTTGGGCCTAGATTATGGAATGGTTTATGGAGTTGCCATTAGTATTTCTAGTTTTGAAGCTCGGCTAAAAACCTATTAATTAGGGGTGCTGATTTGTTGTGTGGTGTTTTAATGTGATGTGTTATGTTTGTCATTTGAATTTTTCATGGTCGTTCAGCATTTTGAACTATAAAGTAGTTGAAAAGTGCTTCATTAATAAAGGAAATGAAAAGAAAAAAAACTATTATATAAAAAATTTAATTGGCTTTATTTGACCTTACCATACACAGCAGAACATATTATATTTTAAAAGATAACACAATGTCAATGTATTGTGAAATACTGTAAAAACATTTAGGCCTAAATTACTACATAACCTACTAACCTGTGCATTTTTATGGTACATTTTTATTGAAATCATGTTTTTTTGTTTTTTTTTAAGAAAGTGAAATAGGTATCTCCTTGTAGAATTCCCAGAACCATATGTGACCCTGGAGCACAAAACCAGTCATAAGTCGCTGGGGTATATTTGTAGCAATAGCCAACAATACATTGTATGGGTCAAAATTATTTATTTTTCTTTTATGCCAAAAATCATTAGGATATTAAGTAAAGATCATGTTCCATTAAGATATTTTGTAAATTTCCAACCATAAATATATCCAATCTTAATGTGTGATTAGTAATATGCATTGCTAAGAACTTCATTTGAATAAACTTTAAAGGCGATTTTCTCAATATTTTGATTTTTTTTGCACCCTCAGATTCCAGATTTTCAAATAGTTGTATCTCAGCCAAATATATCCCATAAATATGTCCTATCCTAACAAACCATACATCAATGAAAAGTTTATTTATTCAGCTTTCAGATGATGTATAAATCTCAATTTTAAAAAATGTACCCTTATGACCACAGGGTCACATATTTGTGTTCTGCATGTCTTTATAACTGGACCACCCAATAGCTGGAGTCATTTTAATCATATTTGAATTATTATGCAGACTTTTATTAATCCACGTGTGCTTTTATCAGTATGCTTTACCATAACAAACACATTTTAATAGCGCAGATCGGTTGGTATTATAGCATCACTTAATGGCAAAAACAGTTCCCAAAATGCCTGTAACATCGTTTGTTTTATACGCTAAAATTGTGGCAACCATGGCTGTCGGTTTTTAAGCCACAAAATGGACTTGGAAAGTTTTCAGAGCAGCTAAAGACAAGCAGCGCATGATCTCACCTTGGAACTTGAAGCCCTCTATCTGGATCCAGAGGCACAGGTCCTCCGTGTCGCAGTCGCACCTCCAGGGGTTCCCGCTGAGCCCCAGCGAGCGCAGAGACGGCAGCGCGATCAGAGAGCTGATGTTGAGCGCCGTCAGGTTGTTGCGGCTCACGTCCAGCACCTGCAGCGCCGCGTTCTCCGCGAACGCGTCCACGTGGATCTCCGACAGCCCCGGGTTATCCGTCATCCTCAGCATCACCAGGCTGGACAGCGGGCCAAACGTCCGGTCCTCGATCTGCGTCAGGCTGTTGAAAGACAGATCCAGGTAGGCGAGCTTGCGCAGGTTGCCAAAAGTAGACTCGGAGATCTCCGTCAACGAGTTGTTGCTGCAGTCCAGGTACACCAGGTCCGATAGGTAGTTGAGCTGCAGCGCCGGCAGGTCGCCGATCCGGTTATTGGAAATGATCAGCTGCCGGGTGGCCAGCGGGAGGTCCACGGGGAAGTCGCTTAACTGTTGCCCGGCGCACTGGACCACCAGCTGGTCGTCGCACACGCAGCGGTCAGGGCAGCCGGCGGTCAGAGCCGGGGACGGCGCTACATCCATAACGAAGACGAAGAGAAACACCAGCCGCAGTGACTGCGCGCTCGGCTCGGGCAGAACACGCATGATCCCGCCGCCGGCTTCATCGACTGTGCGTGCGCTCGCGCATTCTTCATTGATCTGCGGGATCCGGTTCGCTCGTTACGGCTGGCCAGGGACGTGTCGGTGCTGTTCTTGGGATCCTCTCGCAAGTCTCCTCAACAGCGACGGTGACCGTGCTTAACGCGTCTTTGGTCCGTTCTGTGGAGATCACCATGAGCTCATTCGTTGCGGTGTTGGTTTAGGGTACTGGAAATAGTTTGCTGTCCATTGTGCTTAGTTCAGGTCTGAACAATTGAACTGATTTGCCTCACAAGTCCGTAAGTTTGATTGCGTGTTGAAACGCAGTTAAGTTGCGCGACGCGGTCCTGAGACGCACCATCGCGCTGTGTGCTGCTGCTGTACGGCGGCTCCACTCTGGTGTGTTGCGCTGCTTCTCTCTGCAGCTGTGAGTGAGTGAGTGAGTGAGTGTGAGAAAGAGAAAGAGAGGGAGGATGTTGCACTGAGTCTGACACAAGTCTGTGTGTCCAGCTAATTTTCACAGGAGAAAAACACACTCTTGATGCCTTTGCGCTCAGAGAGCATACAGGTGGATGAACTTTCTTTAAGGTTAAATGGTTTAGAACCATAAATATATATACAGTATATACATACATATATATACATACATATATATATATATATATAAAGAACAGATAGCTTATAAACATTCTATTAACATTACTGGAAGAATCTTTGTTCATAACTTTGACAGAACTCTTGACAGAATATTAGCCTAATCTAGGCACACCTTTTCACTGGCAGTGGTTGGTTATTGGTTGACATTCAAGCTTGTAAGAATATAGAAGATTTGTTCTACCTTCTAAAAACGTTGAATTTACAGTATCCTCATATTTGCTACACACACACACACACACACACACACACACACACATATAGCATATCAAGATTAAAGTTAAACATTGAAAGTCCTGCTCGCACTTGTGTAGCCTATATAGTGGCAATGAACGGTCATCTTCTTTAAAGGGTTAGTTCACCCAAAAATTAAAATGCTGTCATTAATTACCCTCATGTCGTTCCAAACCAGTAAGACAAGATACAATTACGGTTGAACCACTGATGTCACATGGACCATTTTAACAATGTCTTTACTACGTTTCTGTACCTTGGTCGTGGTAGTACCCTTGCTGTCTATGGGCGGGTCAGAGAGCTCTCAGATTTCATCAAAAATATCTTAATTTGTGTTCTGAAGATGAACAAAGTTCTTACAGGTTTGGAACGACATGAGGGTGAGTAATTAATGACAGCATTTTCATTTTTGGGTGAACTATCCCTTTAAAGAAAGTGACCATTCATTGCCATCCTTTTTTATATGGTTGAAGATCATCGTTCATTCGCATTGTGGACCATGCAGCTCGAGCAGGGCATTTTTATTTCTCTTTGTGTTGTGAAAATAAATGGTCACCATATATCTTTTGAGCAACACCAGGGAGAGTAAATAAGGGCTGAATTTTTATATTACGTTTATATTGTGTGAACTTTCCCTTTAAGCAATATCCACGAGCAAGAGCGTTGCATTTTGGAATGTCTGACAAATGTCTGCATCGAGTCTATGGCTAAATCCGTGCTGATAGTTGAAAAAACAACGCTATTGCGATGCTGATATTGCTTTTATACAACAATTCAATAAACAAGAAGTTCATATTAAGTAACACAGTGTTGCAGGTACAGTTGTCTGTTTGGTTCTGCCATCGCAAGAAGTTCCAAGCAACCTCGAAAAAAGAAATCCGCAAGTCTTTTGAATGAATGATTCAATGACGCACTGTACACTGAAAAAAATGACCATGAATTTAACGGTAAAAGACTGTAAAAATGCTACAGTAAAAACCTGTTAAATGGTTCACGGCAAATTCCCCTACTTTATACGGTTAAAAACTGTATTGGACCTAACATGTATTGGATATTAATTTTATGGTAGTACACAGTTTTTGGAAGTGAAAAAGACCGTATAATTTACAGTGAATAACCGTAAATTGACATTCCCAGAATTCCCTGCATTACATTTAAAAT